GTGGTGCTGGACCACGGCCCCCCCCCGGGGGGGGACATGGGGCAGAGAGCAGGGTTTGGGTGGGGGCACCGCAGCCGGGCTGGCTGTGCCACCTGCCCCTTAAATACCCAAAAAAGAGGTGTTTTTATCTTAAATTTGCCCCTCTTGCCTGTAGCAGGATTTGTCCCTGCTTGCTGCTGGAGATGATTGGGGTGAGGGCTCAGCCCCAATCTGACAGCCCCCGGGGCGTCCCCAGCCCCGCAGGGGACAAGGGACGAGCGGCAAGAGCTGCCTGGATGGGGGCGAGGGACCCCGGGACAGGCTGGAGCTGCCGGGGCCGAGCTCACCTCCCAGTGTGCCGAGCCTGTGGGGACAGTGAAGGCCGAGGGGTAGGTGAGGATCTCGGCGCCGGCACGCCGCAGCGCCAGCGAGATCTCGGGGAAGCGCAGGTCGTAGCAGATGGAGAGGCCGAGCTGGTGGGGACGAGGAGGGGACGTCAGCGAGGACGCGGCGCCTGGCCCCAGGCAGAGGTTAGGGGACAGCGGAAGGGACGCAGCACTCAAGGCAGAGGAGCAGAAAGGGGAGCCCCTCGCCCTGCGGGGACCCCGAAGGTCCCCAGAGGTGCCCGTCCGCCCCGTACCTTCCCTGCCGGCGTGCTGACCGGGGGCACGATCTCGGTGCCGGGGTTGGTGAAGCTGCTCTCCTTCATGGTGACGCGTCCCTCCAGCTCCACGTCACACAGGTGGGTTTTCCTGTAGGCGGCCACGAGGTGACCTGGGGACAAGAGGGTGCGACGGGGGAGATGTCCGCCAGGGCCGGGGACCCCCAGTCAGCGGGGCAGGGCCGGGGGCTCTCACCTGCGGGGTCCAGCAGCGCGTGGCAGTTGTAGATGCGCTGCGTGGTCGGCCAGTCCCGGCCGCGCTCGTGGAAGCCGCCCAGGGACAGCCACACACCGCAGTCCCTGGGGAGAGGGACTCGATGTCACCCCGGCTCCACCGGGGACGGGGACCCCGCAGCCGGCACCGGCAGCTCCATTTCCGTCACCCTGTCCTGCGGGATGAGCACAGGGCGGGGGGGGGGGGGGGGGCGCGAGGACCCC